GACGGAAAGAGAGACAGACAGAAAACAGACAGACAGACAAAAAGCCGGGAAGAATGGGCGCGGGATGTGAAGGATGATGTGGGGGTATGAAGGGAATCCAAACCCAATCCCGGACTAGCGCGCTCAGATTCACCCGGTAACCCCCGGTGTCTGTACGGCAACTCCACAACCCGCTGACCTCTCCTCTTCTCCCCTCCTTCCCCCCCTCCCCCCCTCTACACCTCCAGCCGCCGCAAGCTGTCGCGGAATAACCTCTCCGCCGCGTGGGGCTCCCCTCGGGATTCGTACAGCTTCGCCTGGACGAGCATACGACACAGCACACGACAGGGGAGCGGGAAGTGGTGAGGTTGGGGTGAGCGGGTTTAACGGCACCTACAGGTGCCCCAACCCTAGGTGGTGGAGTGACGTCAGCCGCCACCTCATCCCCCCCCCACCCCCCGGGAGCAACAAAGCTTCCCGACGGGCAGTTTTTTTTCGTTTAGGACGGGTCTCAATTATTCCAACCTAAGTCACAAAGTTGTGGTAATTTATTCCTCAATTGTGAGGCCCCCAGACCCCCTCCCCCCCGGTAACTTACAACTCTCCTCGTAGACGCGGGCAGCAACACCACTGCCGATGCGTTACCGTCAACAGCAAAATTTCCAGGCTTGTCTTGCTGTTTTGGTGTCTGTTCGACGTTCGAGTCGTTGCCTTTTGCGTGTTTGGCTATGTGAGGACCGGTCATACATGCTAGCCAGGGTAAACCGACATTTGTACAGACAGACAAAATGCGTCTGCACATATGGCCGACCCAACCCACTCCCCACGTCCCGCTCCCCCCGGGCCACTTCCCCTTGCTTCACATACATACGTACTTACATACATACACGGTTCCCTCCCCCCTTTTCCCCCCCTCCCCCGGCCCACCAGTTTGTGTACGGCAATCCCATCAGGGTCGTCATGAGCAATCGCACGCTGGTACGCCCGTACGGCAGCGTCCTGCAAACCGATTTGCTCGTGAACGAAACACTGCGGGTACAGGAGAAGGAGAAAGCGGGGGTTTGGGAAGGGGGATCTGCGGGCGGAAAGTCTATACGTACGGCGATACGACAAGCCACGTATGCATTATGCAAAGGGCATGCACTTTATCAGCAAATCTTTACCAAACCCAGCCGCCTCTGGTTAATGGTGGTTTAAATAACTGAAAACAAACAACTACCAACCACCTTTGTAACGGACCTGCGCCAGGGCGCACCACATCCGCGCGTCGGTTGGCCGCAGCTGCGCCGCGCGGCGGTAGTAGTACAGCGCATAGTACGGCATCTTGAGCAACTCGTAAGCTTGACCCTACGTACGGCATACGGCAGCGCAGAGCTGGACGTGGGGCGAGGCGGAACTCCCCCGGGAGTCGGATGTACGATTTCAACTGTAACCAACCGACAACTGTGAAACTCCCGAACTCTAAATCCACCATCCATCACCATTCTACGTCAGTTTGTATGGTTGCATGTGTGTGTTTTGGGGGCGGGGAGGGGGGAGTACGGGGGTCTTGCGCACGCATATGTGTACAAGGGCCATAAGGAAGGGGGGGGAAAGGGGGAAATTACATGTGTGTGTGTGTTTATGTGCATAAACGTGTGTAATGTAATTCCCCCCGGTTTTGTAGTGCAAACGACCATCACCTCATCCGGTGTATGTACGTACGCGTGTATACACATGCGCTGGTGGTTAGTTAGTTGTACAACAAAACCCACCAGGCCGTACCACGCTCGGAAGTCTTGCGGGCTCACGTCGATGGCGCGTCGGTATGCATCTGCACGCGGGTTTTTAGGGTTTTAGGGTTTCAGGGTTGGTAGTACTTAAACTCGCGGGTGGGAGAGCGGGGGAGAGCAAGAGAGGAATGTGTGTGTGTGTGTTTTAATGACATTGGTGTTGAGAGCAAGTGGGCAGTGGGAGGTGACGAGACGCGGGGTGCCGCACACACGAGTAACTTCACCGGTGATGAGAGTAATCCACCAACCAAGTGGCGGTGATACAAAACATTTTACAAAAAGAGATACGTACGTTCAGAAATAGTGTGTGTTTGTGTGTGCATGTGGCGAGTGAGGAAGAGAGAGAGAGAGAGAGAGAGAGAGAGAGAGAGAGGAGTCGGTTCCTTGTACGGTGGTTGGGGATTTAGGGAAAGGGCGCTACGGCGTTCACGGCCTTATGTAATTGCCCCCTGCCGTACGTATTGTACGAACCTTTATCTCCTACCGTTCCTTCGATTTGCGTCTTCTGGGCCTTTTGTATGTACCCCGGCCCCCCCGCCACTTCCCTACGAATTCCTCTGCCCGAATCTCCCCCTCCTCCTCCCCGTCCCCCCACACACGTACATCCCATCACACCTACCATACACACCCGCAGCCAGCACCCCACAACATTCCTGGAGTACGACTACTAAAAAACATGCTTCACTTAAGTCACCCGCTTGGCTTCTCCAACCCTCAACTCTCTCATCTCACACACCGCTCAGCACATTTAAAAACACACACAGCCCCCTCCGCCCCCCCTTTCCCCCCTCACCACCACAGC